CGCGGAGCCCCGGACTCCGGCGGCTGCTTTAAAACCTGCGGCTTTTCCTAAAACACGTAGCAGCGATAGTAAATAGCTGACTCCTGGTGTACTGCAATGACACCAAAGTAAATAGAAGTTTTGGTGGTTTGAAATTGTATTTGCTGTTTCTGCTTGAGCTACTTGTTTGAATGTCAAAATATGAGCAAGAACTTTATTGCCCCCCCACCCCTTCTGTTCTCTTATCTGTGTTTTTTAGTGGCTGGAGATGGAGAGAAAGATGTGCTGCCCCATTGCAACTTGCAGGTTTACACGTACACCTGTGATGTGGGCAAAAGAGAGAATGTCTACTTGACAGCTGAGAGGGTCCGCAAGGAGGTTGGCGAGGTGTCTGTCCTGGTTAACAATGCTGGTGTGGTCTCTGGGCACCATCTTCTGGAGTGTCCTGATGAGCTTATTGAGAGGACCATGATGGTTAACTGTCACGCACACTTCTGGGTAACTATGAGCTCCTTTCTACTGTCCTTTTTGGTCCTTTTTTGCAAATGAACTGCTGTTGCAGAACTCCTGTCTCCTTGAGGTTTGCGCTTGTTCTTTTTCACTTGTAGGATCACTGCTTTGGGTATTTCTTGTTTTGAACTGACTGTTCTGTATAACAGGAATGCTGGTATTAAGATTGTTAACAAATCATTTTAAATCAGCTGCATCCTCCTAGAATCCAGAGTTCTAAGTCTTGTGGTCATTTCTGTAGCTTTGGATATTATATTCTTTACAAGCAATAATCTCAGAATCTCCTTAAAGGTTGTTACTGCTAATGAATGGCTTCTTTCCTCACATACTCTTCTGCCAGCACATTAGCAACTTTAATATACTGTTTTAATGATCATTACAATAGCAAACTTGCACATTTCAGGGAAAAAAAATCTTTAAAACCCCTTGAAAATGTTGTTTGAATTGCCTTGGAGGCAAATTGTTCCTTTTGGAGGCTGGGAGGAAAGGCAAAAAAGATTTCTCAAGAAATCAAGCCAGGAACACTTTTTCAGGAATTCTGTGTATTTATCCTCATAGCTTTCTCTGGAGGCTGCTTGTAGAAGTAAGAAAATCTTAGCTGTGGTTTCTGGGATGATATTGTCTCCACAACTAGCAGGTGCTAATTAAGGAGAACAAGTATGTGGTCTTACTCTTTTTGTCCATCTAAACCTTGTTTTCCCATGTGCTTTATTTTTAGACCCATAGTGGTGTGGAGTTACATAAATTGGAGTGTTGAAGGAGGGCATGATGCACACTTGGGTTAGCATTAGCTGTCAGACTGAGACCATTGTTAGTATTAAAACTGTTCTTTGATTCCTCAAATAAGGTTATGAAATACACTTGCATAACAATGAAAGGATTAGGCAATCTGAAATATACTTTGACTTAAGGTAAGATCAGTCAAACAAGGTTTTTCATCATACAATTTTATAAAGTGCCTCATCTTCAAAACTTAGAAGGCCTTCACAAGCTAACTTTTTAACATAGAAATGAAATGCTGTTTCATAACCCTAAAGGAGCCCCTTCAAATCTGCACTGTGAAACACTTAATGGCAGAGCAGTCTCTTTCCAATGTATTGTAAAGCTTGCAGAGAGTGCACAGGAGATAGTATGTTTAGAAGCTCTTTTAAAGTCTCAAAGTGTATATTTTAAAGCAATCTGAGAGGTTCTGAGAATGCTTATGTGACTTCTTATAATTAAGAGTTCTGTGTGTTCTCCTTAATGAAAGTTAAATTGGTGCTTAAGCCAATAGAGATGTGTAGTAGATTTAATGACTGTTATTGATGTGGCTTAAATGTTGAATTGACAGTTTCCAAGAACTCTAAATTATGACATCACCATGAGTTAAAATATGGGAGGATCCTAAATTCTCCAGCTGTTCTTCCTTCAGGCCTAAGTCATACACTTATAAATAACAGTTTCAGAGACCTTTTTAAAGCACTCTGTGTGTTCTAAGTCTCTTACAGTAATAGAAAACTAAACTTAGATTCTAGTATTGCTATGATTGGGTTTCCATAACAGTTCCATTCATCTAGCTCTAAATGTTAGTGTAAAGGGGCTTTAAAAAAAAAATATTCCAAGAAGGTATAGCTATGTCTGGACTGCGGAACTTGAGATTTTGGCTTAAGTTTTAAAGGAGTAGTCAACACCCTTTAGATTTAATTGAGGATCTGTTCATATGTAAACTTCCTGTAGATTCTGTGTCCTGCTTTGCTTTTTTTTTTTTTTTTTTTTTTTTTTTCTCTGTTGGCAAAACTCTTTTCCTTGTATTCCCCTTCATGGTCCCAGAAAAGATTGGCTGGACCAATAGTGGGTGGACTTCTGTTGAAAGTAATACTACTTAATTCATAAGATATCATCTGAATCAGCTGATTTGAAGCCAACTTTTTTGATGCAAGTCAATGCTGACTTAAATAGAACAATGTGTCTAGATGTGTGAAGTCTTATACAGCTAGTCTTTTCTGTGTCAGCTGAACTGGTGGTCCAAAAGCAAAGCTAATACTCTGGAGCATTATGTAGGCTTTTAAGTATTCTTGCAGGGTGTTTAGTCCAAAAAACTGTAAATGGATTTTGTAAAGACATGGATCTTGCATGTAATACTGCTTCAGTAGTTAAGTGTCTGTACTTTCTGGGGTTTTGGTGTTTGTCTTTTTTTTTTTTTTTAATGTGGTTTGGGGGAAATTCTTTTTCATCCCTTGATCATTAATCAAGCCTTGATGTGTTTCTACATAAAAACTGAAAATAAGGCTCTAGTACTGTCCCTTGAAACATTTGACATCAGATTAATTGCCTGTTCTCTGTGCAGAATGCAGGTGATCTGATCTTGCTTTTATGCAAGCAGCTACCATCGAAGGCTGCCCAACTTCTGCAGTAGGCAGTGACATGAAAATCTGTCACCGTTTTGCTGCTGTGACTCCAACTGGGCTGTGCACCATATCACAAGCTGGCAGTCCAGAGAGCCTTAGCAGCATGCAACAGCCTAAACAGATGCTTTCCATTTTGCTGACATGCATGATTTGTGTAATCCTTCCTATGAGTGTTCTATATAAAAATGTCACCACTGCATCATGTAGCAATTTCCACAGCATAAAATCCACTGCAGTATTAAAAACCTGTTATTTCATGCTGTGATAACTTGAATGCTTCTGATATTGAAAACATAGGGACAAAATCCATTCCTGGTTTGAAAAAAGCCAGCTTTGCTTTACTATAATTTGCAGATGCATAAAATTGTAGCAGGAGTGTAACACTATCTTTCCTGCCAGTCTATTGCAAGAATAATAACTTACTTGGCTGCACTTGTCAATTATTAGAGCTGAATTTCTACAGACTAGAAATTTTCTTTCTATGCTGTGTCAGGATGCAAATTTCAAAAATGCTGTCACAATATAGCTTGGAGCTCTTACTAAATCAGATTTTAGTAAATATAGGAATTGGACTTTTTTCTTGTAGTTTTACAATAAAGCTTAAGTATCAAAAAATACTGTGGTTTGGAGAATGGCACCATATCAAATAAAGCTACAAACTCTTAATTTTGGGACAATTTGAGAGTTTTGTACCTACTCTAACACTTCTTCTGGAAAAATAATCTATTGCTGGATAAGTAAATATTAGTATTGGACATCACTATAATACCTGGGCAATCCTTCTAGTTTTGGTCATGGGGGAAGGGCCAGTGCAGGGTGATGAGCAGGTTCTGAAATTCTGTGACATGAAGATCCTCCTATACAACAGGTCTTCAGTATTCAGCTCTAAGAGATCAGTGATCTGTGTTTCCCTGTCATGGGGATACTCCAAATATTTCAGCTTATAGCTTTTTTCCTGGAGTTCTCTTCAACTTACCATAAGGGGGAAGCAAAAGCATTCTGCTCCAGCTCTCTCATATTAAAAAAAAAAAAAAAAAGAAATCCATATAGAGAGTGACTAAGGCCCAGAGTTTAAAGGCTTGTGTACTGCTTTCTTAGTCTGGATTGTTTGTGGTTTTTCATTTATTTACAGCTGCTTGATTTTTTGAAGATATGCTGGCATCTCTGTAGGAATTGAAGTAATTTTCAGATGGTCTGACATTGGTGGGGGGAGATAAATACTGATTAGAGAGGGAAACAGTAATAAGGTGTTTAGGGCATTAATGAAAACCTCTAAAATTTAAATATACCTTAGGAAGATGGTTAATGCAGAGTTAATAAATCAAATACCCATTGATGCAGCTGCTGTACTTATCAGTCTCATTAGACTCACAGGATTGCTAAAGCCTTGGAGGGGCTATAGTTATCTATAATGTATCAGTATTTATGTATTGTTGTCTTCTCTTCAAGCTCCCTGGTGTTAAATAAAGCTCACTTATGCCTATAGTTTGTTTAGTTCAAATACAGAAGTATTACACATAGTGTGGACACAATCTTCTATGGAAGAAAATGCAGCTTATGATATTTGGGTCCATACTCTGCTAAGTCTTTTGGCCTCTTGGCATGATTTTTAGTTCTTGCTATCAAATTTAGGATTCTAGCACTGATGATCAAATATAGACAGAATATTCCACTAACAGGCCACCCAGCTATATTTAGTATTTCAGATGAGTGAAGTTAGCTTAAATCTTTTTTTCTTTTTAATGATGCACCCCAAGATGCTTAAGTTCACTTACAAAGTTTAATCTATGTGTTCTTGACTCGTTTCTTTGAAAAATGAGCCGGATCAAGTTCAAGCAAAACATTTGTACGTGATCCAAAAAGTATCATCAAAACTAGCTCTTCCCTTGCTCAATTATTCCAACTCCATGCCACCAGTAAATTACCCTGGACAGCACATGTGTTTCATATACTGTGGTGGCATGCTGGGTAGTGAGTATGAAGGAAAAAGCAATCATACTCTTAGCTATGGAAATAGCTGTATTAGTCATACTTAAAACTTATAAGTGCTTTGGTATGGTTCTGCTGTTCATCTGTTTCTACGTTCATTTCTCAAAAAAAGAGAGGGAATCTATCAAATGAGAAAATACTATCTTCCAGATGCAGGCCCTAGAAAACTACACTTTCCCATTTTATAAAGCAGTGTACTTAGCACAAGTTTTGGAAAATAAAGGGGTGTATATATATTTCTGGAGTTCAAATAGGCACAGTGCTATTGGTTCTGAACTTTCTTCATGCGTTTACTTTATGGTCTACAAGGACTAGCATTGTGTCAAGCACAGTTGTCAGTTACCATCGTGCAGTCTTTAATTTTAGATCTTGTATCTTGCAATTTTTGTATATCTGAATCTTAGCTTTGTAATCATGTTTTAGGTATAGTGATCAGTTAAAAAGCATTAATTTTTTTAAAGGTTTTTTTTTTTAGCAGACACCAACCCAGACCCTTTAATTAGGTGCCTGTATGTTTGAGCTTTGACCATAGCACCACTCTTAGACCAGTTTCAGAATAGTAATGGAAGAGGATAAAAATGACTCTTTTGGCAATGTACTCATTTGAAGAGC